GGTTTACCATTTTTCTATAGATCAGTAAATCTTTAAGGCAAGGTCTGTAATAATGACCGTATTTTTGTTATACATTTGGCTCGCCTAAATCACCTCTTAATAGACAATAAGGTTAAGCACGCGACAATATTTACGATATAAAAAATAGTCGATGGCTTGTGATAGGAATAGTTTTGGTCATTAAAATAACCGTGAACTCGCGTGAGACATCCTTCTTAAGACTTACAAATAAACATACTATTGACTTAACAAATAGGGATTAAAGAATTTCTAAAATGAGCTTCATGGAACTCAAATCCGTCCACAAATCGCAATCTATTACACACTTTATCCTACTAAATCTTCTAATTCATTAGCAAGAATCGCAATTATACCAGAAAATAGATAACTGCGATTTTTGGTTTCTGTGCAAAAACACATAGTAGATTTCAAGCTGTCATCCTTTTTTTCCAACATTCGGTTCAATCAGGCTGGATGGTAAAGCGAGAAATTAATTCAACTACTTCTTTAAAATTAAACATCTTATAATCAGTCAATCTTGATGAATTATCCGTTTTTCATGAATTGTATTCCTAAACCCTAAAAACACATAAAGGGAATCTTTAGTCAGACAAGATGCATACACTGCTACTTCTCTTGGCTGTAATTGGATGCGCTTTACCAGCGGTATATAAGATGAATGTGAAAAGAATTACGCCACCAATGGTAACAATGATACGAGACGGAAGCTGGTCTCGTGTTGTGAAAGGACTGAAGGAAAGACAACTGCAACGTCTGTTCAGTAAAGGGAGAGATATTTACATGAACGATGTGAGGATGTACAAATAATTTCCCTACTAAATGAAAAGAGCTGGACAAATTGTTTTGTTGTTTTTCAGCTCTTCGGATATTATGATGTTGAATACCTTGGTGAGATTAATATCGGCAATCCTCAACAGAAATTTATGGTTTGTCAAAGCTCGATTATCTATAACTTGATAAGTATATGATCAAACTTCAGGTAGTTCTGGACACGGGATCCTCCACTCTTTGGGTTCCGGATGGTTCCTGCATGAAAGAACCGAAAAGACCTAAAGAATGCAGCAAGACTTCATTATGTGACTTAGGACGTGAGTTATCTAATTCTGATTTAGATCAACCTATCATTATGAGGTAATAACATTCTGGAAGTTTCCTTGACGTAAACACCTAGGTTATTTGTTACATCTACCTTCTATACAAGCAATCCTACGGCAACAAGGATTCTTGAGAAGCACAATATGTACAAAGCATGTTGGGAAGGATATCGATATAGTTTTTTGCTAATCATATAATCTAATCAATAGTTTAAACTGATGAAATACTTTTGATTAACGCGCAGTATTTGGCCTGGTCACGTACGTCAAAGAAGAATGAAGAAAAAAAAA